GTGACGTCTTATGAAAACAATGCACGCGCTATTGAGCCAATGATGGACGCCGCGTGATGTGACTTCACGTGTCGAAACAGTCATCTGTAACAGAGATATTAAAAAATCTCTGTGAAACAGATTGCATCAAAGTATTCACAGCTAAAAGAAAGTAAGAGAAAGTGTTACTCAGATGGCGGCCAAAACACTACATCAAAGTTTACAGGCTGACATTCCATCAAAAAAATTGAAACAAGTATCATTGCACTATGGGCCAGGACCTGACTATGATATAATTAAAACCATCATGTAATTTGTGACGTCATATCAAAAATGGAAGTCCGTCAATCTATGCGCAATTGTCCACGTATGCTCAGTTTCGTGTCTTTGGTTTTGTTCGAAGAGCGTCGCCTCCAACAAGTTGAGTAGCGCTTGGGTACTAGTTCTGGATCGAAAAATATATATAAATTACTATACAAACATTAAAGGAGCTAAATCGCTAAAATTTGGGACATAGAAGTTGACACATATGGGGTCGCAGCGCATATAATAATGTAATATGAATGTATATAAAATTATTTACATTCAATCGTTTCCATTTTTACTCTAATTTCAAATCAGTTATGTTCGGCGAAATACGCCAGAAGTCTCAATTGAATGGCAATCTCTAGCGTCTGGTTATTCCAGTCTACACCGATAGTATTTTATGGCATCAGCGTTTGACAAGAATTATGGAATGTATCTAGCCTCGTTCTTCGAGTCCATTGTTACAAATGGCGCTGAAACGCATTATGGTAGGCCTACACGATTCGTGTACCAATGGTGAAATGTTTATTTTGTCTTAAATATTGGATATCAGAAGCCCAACTTTTCCCGGTAAAATAACAACATCAGTGTTGATTCATTTGACAAATAATTCGTGTTTTCAAAGTCGATATTGAGTTAGAGACTTAGCTACTTTAATAACACCTTAAAGATTGGAAAGATACATTTAAATTTGCGTAAGAGTATTTTGAAAATTCACAAAAAGGCTACTATCTCAGTCGTTCTTGCTGTACTAGACAGATTTTCTAGATGTGAAAAGGAAATGTCGAATGGATAGAATCTGAAGTTAAATGTTATAATGTCACTAGCTATCACAGAGATGAAGACTTACAATAGTAAATGGCTTAGTCAAATCCAGATTATACTAGAGAAATGGGTGAGATATTTACCGCCACAAAAAATAAAAATTTTAATACAGAATTCTTTTTACATTTATTTAAAACCTGATTACATGACATATATATCCACATTGATCCGAAGGGAATATTCGCTAAGCCGCTACAATCACTGATAAGGATGACATCGACTTAATGAACCAAAAATATTAACTTTTTTCCTCGGACAAATTAAATTTTAAAACCTTTTTTTTAATGTATTAGAAAAATAAATAAAGACGTTTGAAGTACATGTATTTGTAGGTAAAAATTATTTCCTACTTTAGTGCAAATGGGTATTAAAATGAGTAAAGGGCACCATTGTGTCACAACTTCACTATAATATATCTCGACGAATATTATATTGCCCGTTTGGCAGGGCCTATTTTAAGGTAATTTTCTCGGAGCACGTTCCTCTGGCAACGTTAATTCTAATGGATTTAGTACAATTATGGGCCTCTCTTCAGTGATATCTGGCACGCCTTTTTGCCCAAATTGAAACTTTCTGAGAGCACGTCTTTTTATTTCTCAGAGCTCAGGTTTCACTCATGAGGGCACGGACGTCAGGGACGTGCTTCAATGCCAGATACAATAGGCTAGTCGGTTGGTAGGTTCAATGCACTCGGCAAACCTCGGCAGATTCCGTTACTCTACATCTAGCCTCGGCTGTATGACGGTAAGTGATATGTACCTACGCCTATACAATTGCGATGCGGCACCGGTTTACTTATTAGGAAAACTTGCCGCTTTTAAAAAGAAGTTATCAAAATTACGGCGCTCGTATGTAGAATTTTTAGTGCAAAGTTGTCCTTGTTTGTAGAAAATCGAACAAACTTGAAAGAAAAACAGCTTCAGACTTTGAAATAATTGTACATAATAAAACATTCTTCAAAGGCGTCGTCATGGGCAACGCAGTTGGTAATCCGGAAACTTGATAGTAGTTCCAATGGAGGACTTCGTCATACAGCCGAGGCTGAGGTTTGCCGAGTTGGGGTTCAATGTACCATTTCCTCAGGCGTTCTGCATGATGACTATGAGGAGTATGGTATTGGTGTTTGGTGTTTACTAAATGAGTTTTAATGGCAGTAATAAATTAACGACGCAGTTCTGTTTATGGTAAACATATGTTGTACAGTTTATTATAAATCATCCAAACAACTAAAATAAACACGGCTATGTTTCTATTCTGATTCTCTTACAGTTTGTGCGAGAGAGAGAGAGAGAGAGAGAGAGAGACTAGGTCATTTCGGGGAAAACCCACTCGACACAAACTAGGTCATTTCTGGACTAACATATGGTTCAGTTTTAATTCAATAATTTGCTTGCTTTTAGGGGTCTTTTAGCAGTGGGAGGAAACCGGAGGAGCTAGAGAAACCCGACGAGGTTGGACAGGCGACCCTACTCCTTGTCACGTACAACCGTGGAATCGACACCACGCCAGTCGACTCGATAACAGACTTTATGATACAAGTTAGCAAGCATAATAAAAACTACAAGAGAAGCATGGTTATAAGCGTAGCTCTTATTAAAATACAGTTATTGCTTTCCCAGAAATTATATGAAGTGGAGGCAAGTCTTTAACTCAATATCATCCACACTCTTCGACATTGCAAATACGACTTATTGGTCAATTCAAATCAATAATGATGTTGTTATCTTACAGTGAAAAGATGGTCTTTCTGATATCCAAGTTACATGGCATGCCCAGATTGCCGGAGATACGTCATCACACACTACTACGATAACATCTTAATGAATATCAGTTTGCTACTCATCTTGCTGTTGTTGTTATATTCACGGGACCTCAGTTTTCCGTCCAATCCGAACGACTAGACACTGTGTTCAGCACTTTCAAGGGGAACCCACGCTAGAAAATACCGCGGAACTTTCTGGGCCAACACTTGGGGCATCTTACGCACTGACCACCCTAACAACCATGATGTTAGTCTAATTTTAGCCAATCACAACCCTGCATTTTTCGGACCATATCTAATTTTTCACCGCTTAAAGATGCATTATGTAAGAATATATTTGCCTATTGCAGGCCTTTCTTTGGGCCTTAGATGTTATAAATCATTAAGACATTTATTAACATGACAAGACCATAATCAACTCTAGATCATCGGATCGCTCCGATTTTAAGTGGATTAGAACGGTTCGGCTATTTAATACTTTAATTTAAAAATGGAGAAGCGAGGCTAAGACTTGATTGACCAGTACGGTGGTTACGACCAATGCGCACATTTTGTCACAACTAAAACTCTTTATCTAAATTTAACATAATACCCCTTTAATCTACGCTGCATTGGCCGAGAAAGTTCATCCAGATTTTCCGGCGTGGTTTCCCCTTGTCAGTGATGCAGGACGGGGGGCCTGACAAGGACAGATGTCTAGTCGTTCGGATGGGACGAAAAACCGAGGTCCCGTGTACATATTGGCGTGCGCGTAAAAGATCCCTTGGCAGTTGGAATTCGATATAAGAGTAGGCCGTAGCGCCGCTGCCCGGGCAAAATTTTCCTCATAACACACTGTATGGCGTATGCCCGTCTTCATTAGCCCAGTTTAGGAGCAGAACTGTAGGACGTTAAACCCCATTTCATTTCATTTCATTTTTTAATCTACGCTACAATGGACTCAAATTTTTTATTTAAGCTTGGAAGAGATTAAAAATCACTCAAGTGGCTATAAATTAGCGAAGTAAAGTGCTGATAAAATTTTACCACGAAGGAACCACTTTGCTATGCCCCATATATAGCCACGGCGGCTTATTGAGTAAGACGCTGGCTCGCTAGTCTGGAGGAATCGGGTTCGCTCCCGGTGTTGGCTAAGATTTTCCATCGTGATTTCCCCTTGTCAATGGAGCAGGACGGAGGGCCTGACAAAAACAGCTGTCTAGTCGTTCGGAATCCCGTGTACACATTGGCATACACGTAAAAGATCCCCTGGCAGTTGGAATTCAATATAACAGTAGACCGTAGCGCCGCTGTCCGGGCAAACATTTCCCTCGTGACACTATATGGCGTATGTTGTCTTCAGTAGCCCAGTCGGTGTAGAACAGTAGAATGTTAAACCCTATTTCATTTCGGTGTTCGATCCCTGCATTGGCCGAGAAAGTTCATCCAGATTTTCCGGCGTGGTTCCCCCTTGTCAGTGATGCAGGACGGTGGGCCTGGCAAGGACAGCTGTCTAGTCATTCGGATGAGACGAAAAGCCGAGGTCCCGTGTACACATTGGCGTGCACGTAAAAGATCCCTTGACAGTTGGAATTCGATATAAGAGTAGGCCGTAGTGCCGCTGTCCGGGCAAAAATTTCCCTCATAGCACACTGTATGGCGTATGCCCGTCTTCATTAGCCCAGTTCGGAGCAAAACAGTAGGACTTTAAACCCCTTTTCATTTCAATTTCCTATTTCATTTCATTTTCCTACGAACCTCAGAACAGTAAGACGTTAAAACCCCATTTCATTTCCAACGAACCATACCTACAATAAGTAGCGCAACGCTTTAGACCACTAGACAACCCAATCCGTTGACTTATATAACAAGTAATGCTTTAGAAACGTAGATAACCATTGTACAACTAAATGTCAGATTTATATAATATTAGAAACACATGTATACAATACATGTCGACGTCATACATACAACAAAAACACCGAGCGGATAGATAAATATTAGCACGCGACGGCTAAGACTATTATAACGAGAACACCGGGAATATATAGGCTAAACATAATTTGTATAATTGTCCTTTTGAACCACACTAACGTGGCCTTTAATAAATATTTTTGTTAAAATATAGAATCCTAAAATGGAATCTTACCATTTTGTCGTATCCAGGAATACCTCTGGTTATCTCCGACTTGAGGCGTGCTAATCCTCTTCGCAAAGCGATCCTACCATTGCTTCGGTAACATGAAAAGTTTCTGATAACAACACGAACTGATCGCGCGCTTCCTGCAACTAGGTTTAAAGAAGCAGAACACGCGCTGCCTTCCGCTAATCGGAGGTGGCGTCTGACATCATGAGGTATGTATCTCAGCTAGTTTGTAAGTGTATATCTACACGATTCAGGTTTATATTATAGATAGACTAACTGTCAAAATATCATAGTCTTATCTTCCACTGATAACATTCTGAAGCACTAAGAAAAGTGCTTACATCACAGTTCTGCTCCGAACTGGGTAAATAAAGACGGGCATACGCCATACAGTGTGCTATGAGGGAAATTTTGCACGGATAGCGGCACTACGGCCTACTCTTATATCAAATTCCAACAGTCAAGGGATCTTTCGCGTGCATGTCAATGTGTACACGGGACCTCGGTTTTTCGTACCATCCGAACGACTAGACAGCTGTCCTTGTCAGGCCCTCCGTCCTGCATCACTGGCAAGGGTGAGGAACCACGCCGGAAAATCTGGATGAACTTTCTTGGCCAATGCAGGGATAGATCACCCGACCTCCAGGCTTGCCCACTTAGCCACCGTGATCCCCTTACATAATAGAACAACTTCACTAATGAGGAAAACACATTGCACCATCTGATTCGTGTAAAGCGCGCATTAGATCATCACGTCTGTCATTGGCGTGGTTTCGAATCCTCACTTGTACGTGACAAGTGGAGGTCCAACTTCGTGGGTTTTCTCCGGAACCTCCGGTTTAATCCCACACCTAAAGACCCCTACGTGCATGAAGTAAAATTAAACCATAAGTTTGTCCCGAAACGAAATGGGGTTTCACGTCCAACGTTTCTGTGCCGAATGGGCTAATGAAGACGGACCCATCATTCTGTAACACTAGGTTACTTTCTAAAACAGATGAATTTTTATTTTATGTAAAGACAAGAAATGAATCCGGGTTTAACATCCCACTGTTCTGCTCCAGTTGGGTTAATGAAGACGGACACCTGCAATACAGTGTGCTATGAGAGAAATTGAGCCATGATAGCGGTATTCCGGCTGCCAAGGGATATTTTACGCATGGCGTTAACCTCCATTTCATTGCAATTAATATACAAAGCATGGCTACTTAAATTAAACCTTCTTTTCAACACCGACTGGGATAATGAAGACGGGCATATGACATACAGTGTGCTATGAGGGAAATTCTGCCTGGACAGTGGCGCTACGGCCTACTGTTATATCGAATTCCAATTGTCAAGGGTTCTTATGGCACACTGCATGGCGTAAGCACATATTCATTTTAAAACACGGTCGGAGGTGGGGTGGGGCGAATGGTTAGCGCGTGCGGGTTGTATCATAATGTCTGTCTTTGAGTCAACTGGCGTGGTTTCGAGTCCTCGGTTGTAAGTGACAAGGAGAAGGGTCGCCTGTTCAACCTCGCGGGTTTCCTCCCACTACTAAAGACTCATACACAGTTAAAAATAAAAATAATAAGGTAGTTTACACCTATTCGGGTGGAAACTAGTTGCAACCTAAATATGGGTAACTCCCAGCCTTTAGTGGTGTAAACCGACAACACCCAAGTAGTGTAGAACATTACACCAATTCAGGTGGAAACTAGTTGCCACTTCCAGTAGTGTAATCTGCCGGGTGCACTCAGATAGTGTAATGTTACACTTAAATAGTTTACACTCTTGGGTGTAGATAAGCTTTACCCCTCAAGGATGTTTTGTAAATTACACTTTCATTTTAATTGTTACACCAATGCGGAGGTAATTTGTTTTGTTGGATATTTATTTCAAGCCAAAAACTTCTAAATTCAGAAAACTTGAAATTGGCTATCGGTCTCTATGATAATAATTAGTAAATGGCGTTTAACCCGACACAGATTGCCTGGAGGTCGGGTGTTCGATCCCTGCATTGGCCGAGAAAGTTCATCTGGATTTTCCGACGTGGTTTCCCCTTGTCAGTGGTGCAGAACTTAGGGCCTGACAAGGACAGCTGTCTAGTCCTTCGGATGAGACGAAAAACCGAGGTCCCGTGTATACATTGGAATGCACGTAAAAGATCCCTTGGCGGTTGGAATTCGATATAAGAGTAGGCCGTAGCGCCGCTGCCCGGGCAAAATATCTCTCATAGCACACTGTATCGCGTATGCCCGTCTTCATTAGCTCAGGTTAGGAGCAGAACAGTAGGACGTTAAACCCCATTTCATTTCATTTCATTTCATTTCCGACACAGATTACATATAGACCGTCGGCTACTTCGTTTCATTTTACAACGACATTAAATTGACAAATACCCATCAGACTGATTCAAATTCAACTGCTGTTGGGCAATAAGATAATCTGCATCAATTTACAATGAAAATAAATCATGAGGAAAAATCAATACACATATGCTTACAATTTAGCGGAATAATGTGGTTTATTCATTTATGCACCTCGCCTGAATTAAGAATTATTGTACTTGGTAATATTTTGAAACATTTACACGTCTAAAACAATCTATACTTTACTAATTATGAAAATGAAATGAAATGGAATGGGGTTTAACGTCCTACTGTTCTGCTCCTAACCTGGGCTAATGAAGACGGGCATACGCCATACAGTGTGCTATGAGGGATATTTTGCCCGATCAGCGGCGCTACGGCCTACTCTTATATCGAATTCCAACTGCCAAGGGATCTTTTACGTGCACGCCAATGTGTACACGGGACCTCGGTTTTTCTTCCCATCCGATCGACTAGACAGCTGTCCTTGTCAGGCCCTCCGTCCTGCATCTCTGACAAGGGGAAACCACGCCGGAAAATCGGGATGAACTTTCTAGGCCAATGCAGGGATCGAACACCCGACCTCCAGGCTAGCGAGCCAGCGCCTTACCCACTTAGCCACGTGATCCCCTTACTCATTATGAGTAGACATTCTAAAATGAGTTATAGCGCAATTAACGCCATATTTACCCCCCCCCCCCCAAAAAAAAAGAAAACACGGGATGAACTTTCTCGGCCAATGCAGGGATCGAACACCCGACCCCGAGGCTAGCGAGCCAGCGCCTTACCCACTTAGCCACGTGATCCCCTTACTCATTATGAGTAGACATTCTAAAATGAGTTATAGCGGAATTAACGCCATATTTAAAAAAAAAAAAAACAAAAAAAAAAAACACGCACAAATTGGAGTACACAAATACTTTTGTAAGGCAAGATACGGTGTAAACTTGACACCATATTTGGAGAAATGTTTCCCTAAAATAATTACACCTGTTGGTGTAAATACAATGAAACGCTTGTAGAGGGGTAGCTCACCCAAACACCCTTTAGCGGCTATAATTACACCTATTCTGGTGTTCAGTACTCATGAATATCGATTACACTTTTGCAACCCAATAAACGCTGTAAAATTAACGCTGTTCTGATTTATTCCCCAATAATAGTTACACCCTTTTGTGTAAATGCAGTATAACACTTGCAGTGGTGTAGCTTATCGAAAACACCCTACAATTACACCTATTCAGGTGTTTAGTAATCATGAATATCGATTACACTTGTTAGGTGTAGTTCTTTTAGTTGGTTACCCTTGGACATATATTACATTCAAAAAACCCTAGCTGTGGTGTAAAGTTTACACTTAATTAACACTGCTTATTGTTTTTAATTACACCCATTTTTAACAGTGTACGCGCAAGTGAATTATTGAAATAAAATTGAACCATATGTAGGTCCCGAAATGACCTAGTTTAAACCTCATTTCTCTCTCTCATTAGCACAGTCGGTGCAGAAAGGTAGAAACGTTCGACATAATCCAAGCATGCGCCTACAAGTGTCATCGAACAGCTGAACAGAACCAGCGGAATATTTAGTCGATGCCCTGGCAAATTCATATTTAAACATACATTATGCAAGAGCTAAATTTGCCTATTGCTGGTCTTTCTTTAGGCCTGAAATGTTATCTAAATTATTAATTAGACATTAATTAACTTATCGAGACCATAATCACCTCTCGATGGCATCGCTAGCCCGCGATGTTTATTGGATTAGGTTCCGATTTGCTGTTCGACTTCCATTCATAATTTAATCATAAAATGGATAATCGAGACTATGTTGTTTTTTTTATCTTACCGACTTTAGTATTGATGATCGAGGATAGGCCGAAAATTCAATCGCTAAAATCTCGGTTCGGAGTGGATCAATTTGACTGGAATTTTCAGCAAATTCCCTTTACATTATGTAGTTTTGAACTTTTATAGTGAGAACTGCCAGCTCTTTATCTTATCTCTCATAATGTATCTTTAATCTCTGTAAATTCCACAAGTTTTGAAATCGATCAGTTTTGATCTGTAAAATGTTAAAAGATTAATAATAAACATTTCGATTTGAGGTTCATTCATATTTACGGCTAGAATAAATTTGTTTTTAGGGACATCTTTTAAAATATCTGGAATAGTATCTCTGTGTTTAGTTTTTAAACTAATATCGCGTACGCCATGATATACATTATAATTTCGCGTCATGGCGATCTTAAAGAAATCCGTATCAGAGTTAATCCCTGGATTAAAGATGCTTTTCATCACTAATCCTGATGAATTAAATATATTTTCCCCTTTGATCATGTCGTTCCGAATCACGTTTTTTTTCTTCGCCGTCGTCGAAGTGATGTCTTTGTCCGTACAGTTGTACCAAAGTCCCCCATTCACGGTTGAATATATTCCAGTGATTTCGGATTGCAACATTCGAAAATACTCTAATGACAGAAAAAGTCCTGGTGTTGATGTGATCGGATTGGAGCGTATAAAATCCAGAACGATAGTGATCGAGTCATTAATTCCAGGTGTGAACTCTGTGGCATACAAGATCAAAGCAAACCGACCGTTTGCCGATTGTTTACATTTATTTATTGCCCTACCAGAAGTGAGAGGGGTTCCACGAGGTGGGTTGAGTATTTTCAGGTCGCTGTAATCGGCCAAATTATCGTCCCAAATCCCTAAATACTTTTCACCACCTCGGAATGTTTCTTTGAATGTTTTTAAGACGGCACCGATTCTCGAGCTGTTTGTGTCATTTCTGATATAAAGCTTGTTGATCCAGTAAAAATGATCTGATTTTCCTAAATGTTCAAGAGTGGGTATCACCTTTGTTGAATCCAGGTCCAGTTTTAATATAATGTATTCGTCTGGATGGGTATTCTCTAATATCCAGGCAGAAATATCGATTACATTCACGGTTTTGTTAACAAATGTAGAATCTGTCAACGATCCCGATTGAACTTTAACTGTTTCGTGTGAAGTACCGCACATGGCGGGAATGAACGTGTGCTGTCGATATACACTGTAAAGAGGTTTATATGAAATTTCTGGAATAAATGAGAATATAGTGTATTTCAAAGATTGAGGATACGTGTCTAAAAATAACTGGACACTTAAAGGAAACGATCCACCACAATTGATAAATATTAAACGCGGTAAATAATCTTTGAATTGTCGGTCCAATTCTTTCTTTTTGCTTGACCGCGGGTGACTGCTTGAAGGACCGCGAGTAAATGTTTCTGGGTTTCGATGCCCACCTCTTATTCCAATGACTGGCGATCTGTTTCCAAAATTCTTCAAAACGAAATGATCGAATAAGATGCCCCCAGTAACGCACAATACTACAAACACACACTTCTTATACCACCCAGCTGACAGCCTCATTTTAACAAACAAGTCACAACTCTATGGAATACAATCACTGCTTATAACTGACCGACGTTTTGACTACACCTCTCTATAGTTCAATTCCATTGAAACAAGTTTAGCCTCATTGTAATCCGGTCTATTAAGGCACGTAGGCCTAGATATGGTTTGTTAGATACCGTGTGCACTAATACACTCCCATTTAAAGAACCTGGGTATATGTAGTATTGATCATATAGATAATAGCACTGAAGTAAATCTGTTTTTTTTCTCGATGTAACAGCTCTCGGCAATTGATAAGATTTTTTAGAATATTAAGACAACAGCTGTGGCTATTGTAGTTATTAATTGGAATGTTTAACATATTAATAACATACACACCGAGGTGTAAAATATTTTATTAAACAATTACATTATTAAACAATCAACTCAATAATTATGGCGCGGCTGGTTCAGAAAAGTAAGACGTTAGTCCCCATTCAGTTTCTTTTATTATAGCCCCCCCCCCCCCCTTGTCAGTGGTGCTGGACAGAGGGTCTGGCAAGCGACAAGTTATAGTTGTTCCAGTGGCGGCGCCAGCCGTCGGTGATTGGAGGGGCAAAGCTGGGGCAAAGTCCAAGGTTAAGGGGGCAAAGGCACGAGCTTCAACTAGAGGTAGGGGGCCTCCCCCACCAGAAAATTTTGAAAAACAGGTTGCCGGAAATGCAGCCTGGCAGTATTTCAGGCACAGAACGACGAGGTAAAGTGTCAAACGAACGGACTTGCGAATCACGACGAAGCCCACTCATGAGCGTCAAAGTAGGGAGTCCTCCCCCAGAAAATTTTGAAAAATAGACTGCCGGAAATGCTGTCTTAGAGTATTCTGTCAGGCACCGATCGTCGAGATAAATAGATCTGACCAGATACCGTCCGTCGCCTGATCACTAGTTTATCCGACTAGAGAACAAAATGTCAAACGAACGGACCTCAACGAATTCCCCTTGTGAGCGCCAAAGTAGCGACTCCATTGGGGGCCTCGCCAAGAAAATTTTGAAAAATAGACTGTCGGAAATGCTCTACAACATGAAAGTTTATAACTGAGTGTGGATGTGGGATTTATTCACCGTAGAAGGTATTGATTACCGAAACGTATCACAAATCCTTTTTTTTTATTTTCTAAAATTATTGGGGGGGCAAACAGAGGGCAGACCAGATTAATGCCCCCCCCCCCCTTGCGCTGCCACTGATAACCAGAGACAAAACCAGTAGAGGATTACAAATATAACCAGAGACAAAACCAGACGATCATTTGGCTAATAAAGTATGTAGCAGAGGAGAGTATGCGTCACAAGTTGGAGGGGGGGGGGTCCACATCTAGCCACCGACGCATGTTACTGCATATCACTACATATTTGATTTGGTTGCCGAACTGCATAGTGCTACAACTGCCAGTCGTCTGTAAGAGGCGGGGGAGCGGAGCTAACCGTGTATACTTAGACTTAAATCAGTTTATATAGACAAATTATCAATATCATATCAAATATCAGGGGTGGGTCCTCCACCCCCACCCCTCGTTCAGCTACATAAAAAAATTGTAAAACAACACTTTTATGAGAAAAGTGTCACGGTCGTGTGCTTTATCCTTTATCATCAGATAGTAGGGATGGGATGGCCAATCAAAGCGCGAGATAATGATATAGACATTTGTGATATCACAATTAATGCTTTGCATCAATGAAATTGAATCACAATGTGATCCTATTAATTCATATTTTTTTTTTACGTCCAACGGGCTGTTGGGTTTCTCTCTTTAAAAAGCTCAGTGTGTATGTATGCCTACGTAATTTGGAGACGATGATGGGATCATGCGTCAAATTCCCTTAACAGGAACCTGGCAAACCCACTCCTGCAAAACTTTCTGGATCCGCGTCTGAATATTTCCTCCGTCTCGCTCGTAGATGCAAGTGCCCTTTCCACCCTTTTCCACACAGAAATCTAAGACGAGGTTAGTTGTAGGGACAAACGTACAAAATAATAGAAATTCTTATAGTGCGCTAAACTCCAGAACAAATTGTCTGCTCAAAGCCCTAACAAAATAGGTTTATCTGTAAGAAATTTCAAACTGGTAGGCCTCGTAAGACAGAGGGCATGAGCAGGCTTTCACAATACCTCTGAAAAATCGGAGACTAAAGGGGAATAACTCCTAGTTGTGTGCAGGATTCAGACAGGCAACTATTTTGCCATTGACTTCAAAACGAAAATCGTGCCATTTCGTGGCCTGTACTATAAACTTTTTATTAAACAGTGATCTTAATATTTATAGCATAAAGTGGCCAACATCTCAAAATTATCTGCTAAAAAATCAATTTGTTGGTGTGTCCACAAGTTGATGTGGTGATGAAGAGCAACAACCCATGAAGTCATTATCTGAACTAATTAAAATAAATCAATTTGTTGGTGAGTTCACAGGTTGATGTGGTGAAGGTGGGCAACAATCCATGAAGTCATTATCTGAAATAATTAAAATTTGAGATGATTCTATTTGTTCCTGATGTCAACATACCAGTAAGTAGATGATAACTGTTATTGAAAATCCTTGATAATTAATAGGCTTTTTCATCAAGTCAATCAGATAATACTAATCTGTAGAGCATCCACAAAATCTTGTAAGTGATCAAGGGCCACAACTCTAAAAGTAATTATTAGACAGAGGTTTCGTCATCTCATGAAGATCAAGATTGACGGACAGACTGGGTGATGACAATATACGACCACATTTAAATAAAAATCAATTTACTGGAACAATTAGTTTGTAATTGATTCAAAGAAATCTGGCCCTAAAACCTTGCTATTTTTTAAAGAACTTGTTCTCAGTGCTGGATCAACAATGGGGCTGCATGTAAAGTTAAAATGATTGATGAATCACAACCAACAACCTTCAGTCAGTTAAATTGTCATGCTTCTGTACTTCTGGACATGAGTATTTCTTCCATATACCATCCCTGACATGATTTTTTCATTCATCAGCAAGGGACTGATTGCATCCATCCATGCAGAATGAGAGAGAGAGAGTGGGGGTTTAACATCAAAACACAAACTAGGTCATTTTGGGACTAACATGGTTCAATTTTATTTCAATAATTCGCTTGCACATTGGGGTCTTTAGCAGTGGGCGGAAACTGCAGGACCTGGAGAAAACCCATGAGGTTGGACAGGCGACGCTACTCCTTGTCACATACAATCAGGGAATCAAAACCACGCCAGTTGACTCAATGACAGACTTTATGATTCAACGCACATGCGCTAACAATTCGGCCATCCACTCCCCAAATGCAGAATGTGATGGGGCTCCCATCAAGTTAATCCGACCCTGCTTGTGCTGAAATAATAAAGTTAACATACAATTTCAACACATATTCAGTTTGAAAATTTGTTTGTTTTCCATACATTTGTATTTATATTACTCCAGCCAATATCAATCCACTCTAATTATATAAAAACACAGAAAACCTGATCACATATTCCAGGAAATCATAAATCATCTATATTCATGGTCTCTTCAAAACATTGCCCAATATACTAGTATCTGTTTTCCATCAGTATATGTGTGTTCGAGTTTATTATTCTAACCAGTTACTAAAATGTCTCTGAAAGATCATCTTTTCTAATATTGCATATTTACATTTTAAATCTACATCATCATCAATACTTTCCACAGTGAAAGATCATCTTTTTTAATATTGCCTATTTACATTTTAAATACTTTCCACAGACTACCGACTTGTTGTGTTTCTAGAACAACTTTAACTATAAAATGAAGTATATCAGTACTAAACAACAGTTTATAAATTTTACGTGAGCGGGAAAGGCAACACTCCCGTTAACACTACCAGATTCCTGTGTTTCTAGAACAACGTCAAATAATGAAGTATTCATGTATCAGTACAAAACCACAGTTTATAAATTTTACGTGAGGGGGAACGGCAACACTCCCTTAAATAAATGTAGCAGAGTCTGGACAGTTTATAAAGTTGTTGAATGAGTTATTAGTCCCATCTTGAAGTTTTGGCTCGAGCTGTTATGGAACCATCTAAATTAATTGTGTTATAATGGTTGCTCTTCTTGTCATCTGTGACGTTCATATAGATCATGTATCCAACACATCCTAGGAATGCAGTTAGCCCTACTGTCATCACAAATTTATTCTAAAAAATAAAATTGGTAAAAGAAAACCATAAATTATACACATTCAGAAAAATATTGTTATAACTGGTAAAAGAAAATCATAAAACAAAATACGAATGAAAAATATATTTAATTAACAAGTACCAGCGTACAAAGGACCAGGAACCGAGTATAACGTTATCACAGCCATCTTGGAATTCTGACGTCACATCAAAAGGGTAAAGTCTAAAAATTAGAGCCAACTGCAGATTTCTTCATGGTCGCGAGATGTAAATAGGGCTTGGGCATGTGATTGTTGACGAGATTGTGAGTTAGGGTAAGGTTAAGATCTAGGGTTAGCCCTTTTTACATCTTGTGACCTTTGACCAGCATACTACAGACCAGGAACTGAGTATGATGTCATCACAGCCATCTTGGAATTCTGACAGCATATCAAAAGGGAAAAGTCTAAAAATTAGAGCCAACTGCAGATTTCGTCAAAGTCGCGAGATGGAAACTGAGTTAGGGAACGTGATTTTGAGTTAGGGGTAAGGGTTAGGTCTTGGCTTAGCCCTGTTTACAATCTCGCGATCTTTGACCAAATCTGCAGTTGGCCTTAAAGGCTCAATACCACGCTTGATGTAACTGAATAATATGTCCCAATCTTTATTCTGGTCAACAAATTGTACTATTTTAGAATATTTCAATTAATTGATGATACAAATTTTATCTTAACACACCTTATTTAAAAATTTTGAAAAATTCAACATAATGGTTTGAAACGTCTAACGTAAACCTTTTCAAATGAAACTTTGATTTAAAAATATTTTCGAACCCTCTGGACCAATAAAATAGGATGTAATGGATAATTTACACAACAGGTAGGACACTTAAACATTAGTACTTAGATGATCATGATAGAGATATTATTTATTTTCTGGAGCTTTCAAGCCAGCAAGAGTGTTATTGTCCCTTTAAGTTTTAGGCCTTACCATATCAAAAGTCATGTTCAAGGAACA